GTGAAAGGTGTGTTGTCTGGCAAAATACTGAAGACATTCTTTATTTCAAAACAGGTTTTTAATAGAGGGCTCTTAAAGAGACAAAATAGCAGCTGGTATAAATCCAGTATCTGGCTGCCAAATGTTCTACATGGGACTGAAGGAATGGTAGCATCTATTGATGTCAAAGAGATTTCACAAAGAATAGATTGTAATCTCTTGTGACTATAAAGGTAATGATGGGCTGGTAGCTCAACACCAAGCCACTCACTGTGGATTGTGTCCCAAACTGTAGACACATTTTGTTTTGTCCCTTGGAAGAAAATACAAGGACAAAGGGTTAAAAAGCCAGTTTCAACGCTACTGGAGTCTGCTAGTGGGACTGAGCATTCTCATCACAGATGTCAGACAATACCAGATTGTAGTCCAACAGGTTTATTTAAAATTACAAGCTTTCAGAACATGATGAAGGAGCAAAGTTCCATACAATCTAGTACAACACCGGCACTTCCACATCATTCTCATGTGTATCAGACGGAGTTTGAGATTAGTGTGCTATGAAGATCACAATTGAAGTAGTATTCGCTAAACACCCATTTGGAAGAGGTTAATGGAGACCCTCTCTCACTGAGTGTAACCAGACAAAAAGAAATGGAATTCTACCTCTCAACCCTGAATGCTGAAACTCAATCATGGTCAAAAGGAATTAGAATACAGAATTTCAATCAAACTTCAAAACTTATGATTGATAGTTAAGAATGGGTTTTACAATGTCAATGCTTTTAGTAAACTCCACTGAAATGGCTGCAATGTTCAATTAAAAGCAATATACTGCAAATGTTGGAAATCTGATAATAAAAACGGCAAGTGCAGGAGAAAACTCAGCAGCTGTGGCAACATCTGCGGAGAGAAACAGATTTAATGTTGAGTCCAGTATGAATCTTGTTTGGAAGTGAAAAGTTATATTTTTTGTGCTAGTGACAAGAGGGGAGGAGCAAATTAAACAGATAGTGAGCATGCCCAGAGTAAAAAAAAGACGGTGGCAATGGTGGTAAAGGAGAGACAAAGATGCAAAATAATTGTAAATAAATGGTATGAAGAAGAAAAAAATGGATCCACTCCACTAACAGCAAAGTCCACAAGGCATGGCTGGGGGAGAAGGGGAGGACAGAGGTCATACTTTAAAGCTGTAGAACACAGTATTAAGCCCAAGAGGCTAAAAAGTGTCTAAGTAGATAATGAGGTTTTTATACATCCTCCAGCACGTCATAGAGACACAGACATACAGCACAGAAACAGACCCTTCGGTCCACCTCGTCTGTATTGACCAGACATCCCAAACTGATGAATAGTATCCTTGCTAATGGTGTCACCAAACAAGAGGGTCATGGTTTACAAAGTAGCATTGCCGGCTACACCTGCTATGAGCCATCAGTATTGACCACTACTTGTCAATATTAACCCATTAAGGAAAGGCAATGGCCTAGCAATATTATCACTGGACCGTTAACCCAGAGGCCAAGATAATGTTCTGGGGACCCAGGTTATAATCCCACCACAGCAGACGGTGGAATTTGAATTCAATAAAAAAAAAATCTGGAATTAAGAGTTGAACGATGACCATGAATCCATTGGTGATTGTAAGGGAAAACCCCATCTTGTTTACAAATACCCTTTAGGGAAAGAAAATGCCATCCTTACCTGATCTGGCCTACATGTGAATCCAGACCCACAGTGGTATGGTAGACTCTTAACTGCCCTCTGGGCAATTGGGGATGGACAATAATTGCTGCCTGGCCAACGATGCCCTCACTCCGTGAATGAATAAAGAAAAGTTCTGTAGTTATAGTCATAGAGATGTACAACATGGAAACAGACCCTTCAGTCCAACTTGTCCATGCCAATCAGATATCCTAAATTAATCTAGTCCCATTTTCCAGCATTTGGCCCATATCCCTCTAAACGCTTCTTATTCATGTACTCATCCAGATGCCTTTTAAATGTTCTAATTGTACTGGCCTCCATCCACAGCTTGTTCCATGCATGCACCACCCGCTGTGTGAAAAGGTAACCGTCAGGTCCTTTTTAAATCTTTCCCATTTCACCTTAAACCTACACCCTCCAGTTTTGGCCTCCCCTATCCTTGGAAAAAGACCTTGGCTAATCACCCTATCCATGCCCCTCATGATTTTATAAACTTCTATAAAGTCACCCCCTAAGCCTCTGACGCTCCAGGGAAAATAGCCCGAACGTACTCAGCCTCTCCTTAACGCTCAACCCCTCCAAACCTGACAACATGCCTGTAAATCTTTTCTGCATTCTTTCAAGTTTAACAACATCCTTCCTATAGCAGGAAGATGAGAATTGTATGCAGTATTCTAAAAGTGGCCTAACCAATATCCTGTACAGCTGTAATATGACATTCCAATTCCTATTCTCAATGCACTGACCAATAGTGGCAAGTGTACCAAACACCTTCTTCGCTATCCTGTCAACCTATGACTCCACCTTTAAGGAACTATGCACCTGCACTCCTCGGTCTCTTTGTTCAGCAACACTCCCCAGGGACCTACCATTAATTGTAGAAATTGTATAAATTTGCCTTTCCAGAATGCAACACTTCACATTTATCTAAATTGAACTCCATCTGCCACTCCTTGGCCCATTGGCCCATTCTATCGTACTCTGAGATAACCTTCTTCACTGTCCACTATACCACCTATTTTGGTGTCATCCGCAAACTTACTAACCATACCTCCTATATTCACGTCCAAATAATTTATATAAATGACGAAAAGCAGTGGATCCAGCACCGAGCCTCAAGGCACACTACTGATCACGGGCCTCCAGTCAGGAAAGCAACCCTCCAGCACTGCCCTCTGTCTTCACCTTCAAGCTAATTTTGCATTTAATTGGCTATATCCCCCTGCATCCCATATGATCTAAACTTACTAATCAGTCTACCACGCAGAACTTTTTTCCGAAAGCTTTGCTGAAGCCCATATAGACAACATCTACCATTCTGCCTTCATCAATCTTCTTGGTCACTTCTTCAAAAAAAAACTGAATCAAGTTAGTAAGACAAGATTTCCCACACACAAAGCCATATTGACCGTCTCTAACAATCCTGGCCTTTCCAAATGCATATAAATCCTGTCCCTCAGAATCCCCTCCAACAACTTACCTACCACTGACGTCAGACTCAGCAGTCCATTGTTCCCTGACTTTTCCTTACAGCCTTTTTTTTTTGAAGCGTTGAGCATCAAGACAAACATGGAAATGTTAGCATGGGAGCAAGGTGGTTTAATAATATAGCAAGCAGCTGGAAAATTGGGGTCATTCTTATAAACAGTGGTGGCATTCCACAAAGCAGTCACATAGTCTCCATTTGGTCTTACCATTTGACTATGAGACCTTCATGAACATTTTGGAGACTGATTCATAATTCATTTTCTACTTACATTGGATTAACCTCTTATTTTCAATGTGTTTCTTGCATTAGTATTACTTATGCAATAATCAATAAACTCATTCTTCTTGTAATTCAAGAAAGCCTGGATAAATTGACTCATTTTAGAGCATAACTTCACTTGGGTCTGAGACAAAGGCATCCAAAAGGGAAGGACACCTTGTCAAATTAATCTTGTACAACCAAGAAGGTGGGGGTGCAAGACTTTAATGAAAAACGTAAGACTGTTCACTCCTCTTCGCCTTAGAGGGGACACCTAGCCTGAAACCATAACAAATTGGGGAACATCACTGGAATCTGAACATAATGACATGCCTGCAGAGAGATTTAGAACCAGGTTACAAAACAGTACTATTTAAATGGAGAAAAGCTGCAACACAATGGGACTTGGTAGGGGGGGCAGTGGGTGAACCTGTGCATAAAATACAAAGCTAGCATACAAGGGCAGTAGGTAATCAGGAAGGGTAATGGGCCCTTATATCAAGGGGTTTGGAACATACGAGTAGGGAAGTCTTACTGCAACTTAACAAGGTGATTCTGAGACCACAGATGGAGTACTGAGAGCAGGTTTGGTCCCCTTACTTTAAGGAAAGGTATCATTTCAAGGAAAGCAGTTCACAGATGGTTCAATGAGGATGATCCCCAGTGTGGAGGGATTGTCTTATGAGTAAAGATCATCAGGTTGGGACTTTACTCACTGGAAGTTAGAAGAATGAGAGGTGATTTCATTGAAACATAAAGGATTCTTAAGGTACTTGACAGGGTAAATGCTGAGAGGATGTTCCCCCTTATGAGAGAGTCTATGACCAGAGGGCATCATCTCAGAATAAAGGGGCATCAATTTAAGACTGAAATGAGGATGAATTTCTTCTCTCCGAGGGTTGAGTGTCTTTGGAATCCCTTGCCACAGAGAACTGTGGCGGAAAGAGTCCTTGTGTATATTTAAGGCTGAGATAGATTCTTGATCAATCAGGAATCAAAGGGAAAGGGCAAGAAATGGATGTGAGGATCGTCTGATCAGTCATGATCCTTTTCGATGGTCGTGCAGGCTGTGTAGCCTAATCTTGTTCCTATTTCTTATGGTTAGCTAACCTCTCCCTGTATTTCTTCTAGGCTTCCATAAATGGTCACCTCCCAGCAGGGCCTAATGGACAGCAACCATGACTGTGGCCAATATTCTACCCTTATAGCAAAAGTATGTGGAATGTAACCCTTGCAAGGTCACATCTGAAGTCACCAGAACTTATTTTGTTATCCATTTTCAGGATCTGACCATTACTGGCATGGTCCTTGAAAAGGTGATGGTGCATTGCCTTTGTGAACTGCGGCACTCTGTGCAGTGAAGGTGCTCCTGCAGTTCTGTTTAGAGAATTCAAGGAGTTTATTTACTAAGTTACAAAGAAGCAACAACCAATATGTGCGTCTAAGTCAGGATGGCACATTCCATGCGCTTGCTACCGTCGTCTTAAGGATTTTTAGCTATGTATCTAGACTAGTAGCCCACAGATTAGAACACAGGTTTTTTTTAAACATTTGGGGCAAATATGTTATATATTTTCCATTTCTTTTATTTAACTGACATTATTCAAATACAGCAAGACAAAGTTTACAGAACAGTGCCACATAACATTAAACAGAACTTTTTTAAAAAAGCAAAATTTACAAACTTTGTTTCGCTCCACAAACATACACATCTAAATTGACCATTTTGTATCATATATGCAAATGGAAGAAAACTGACAGCTTCAATCTCAGTTCCAGAACTCATCAGAACCTGCTGAGAAAATTAGAATCCCAGTTTGAATTGTTAAATTGGAAATTCAAAATATTAATGTTTTCCACCTCAGTGCTTTTATAAAAGAAAATACAGTAACACAGGATTTGTACCACAGATTTAATTGAAAACAGAATGGTGAAGTCTCATTGATTTGGACAAATGGAATTTCAAATGGTCCAAATTTGAGCTTAATTTGGTTTTTCTTCCTTTCTTACCAACCCTAACTCCATGAAAACAGCAGAGTTTGCAACACTTTTGAGACATAGACGGCATTATACCTCCACGTTGCAGACAACGCACAAGAAAAATGAGTCACCACTGACATTTTAAAGGGATCAACAGATTAAAATGAGACCAAAATACTTATGCCTTTTGGCACGGGCAGACTGTATATTCAAAGCATCTTTCCCTTGGTTATTTTAAGCACCCCACACACCAATGTGGGAGTGTAAGCATCACTGCTCATGTTTTCTACTATGAAACCCTGGAATTCCCACTCAGATATCTTTTAAGACATTCCTCTCAACCTACCTCTGTTAACCAAGCCTTTGGCCATCTCTCATCCTATCTCCTGTCAAGGCCCAATGGCAAATTCAGTAAGCTAATGTTTGAGGTTTTTTTTCTCACTGATTTGTGGGATGTGGGCTTCATTGGCTGGCCAGCATGTGTTGAAGTGAAGCTCCTCAGGCTGTCCTGGGAAAGGGGTTACACAAATGCAAGTTGTTAGGACATGGTGACAAACGCGACCTGCCTCCTCTTTAGAGGGTGCAATGCCTGGACTCAACTAAAGCAGTTTTCCTAACAGTTCCAACTCAGCCCAGCAAAAATCTGCTTAAAATTATCTGCCATCACATGCTTTGTCATCCTAGAGCTGAGATGAACCTATTGCCCCATCCCTAACTTGCCTCGAGAGGCAGCGATAGGGTGCCTTATTGAACTGCTGCAGTATGCTTGATGAAAGTGCTCCCACAACACTGTTAGCTTTTGCAGGAGTCTGCTCCAGTAATAGTGAAGGGACAGCACTATAGCTTTAAGTCTGGACAATATAGCGTCAATATAACATTCCAATGCAAACATTATATCATGCTTCCCAGGAATGTTGCATGACCTGGGTAGTTTAAGCATTTCTGCCTTTAAGTCAGATTTCCAGCATCTGCAGTATTTTGCTTGTTGGGACTGAATGATTGGGCTATCCCACTCTAACCATGGTGCAATTAGATCTCTGATGATAAAAAAAACTGCAGTTGCTATAAATCAGAAACAAAAACAAAAGAAAGGGTTGAACGACCCTTCCCGTTAACTCTGATTTCTCCCCACAGATGCTGCCAGACCTGCTGAGCTTATCCAGCAATTTCTGTTTTAGACCTCTGATGATGCAGGAGTTCTTGGTAACATGTTTTCAATAGCTTGAAGTAAAGCTTAGTTTTTTTTTAATGTAGCATGCAGGACACACAAAGAATCAAGAAATTCCAGTTTTGTGAACCTAAGGAGTAAACAAACGAATAAGAGCAAAAATACAAGCTCAGCATGGTAAAGATACAAGGAGAGAGCAGAGGTTATTGGACCCGGATTGCAGTTTGAAGTCACAAAGCAGACAAATTAAGAGAAATAACAATCACACGCACTATTAACAAAACAGAGATGAAAGTTTAAGACCAATGATAAGAGGGGGTAATTTTTCAACCTGTAAGCTTATGTCTTATGACTATCCTGGAGACAGTAACAGAACGTTGCTTGAAATAGGAGACATGCACTTTCCTCCTCTTGGTTTAAGTTGTATAATTCAAATTATTTCAGAAAAATCTTTAAAGCACTAAATTCTGACCTCTGGTGTGCTGGCTGCATTATCTAATTCAAATTATGATAATCTTTTTTAACACATTGAGCAATTCAGAATTATCAGGTGCAAACCGCCTTCATGTCTTAAACCTGTGATCAGCAGGCTGCCTTTAGTCTGTGTTAATGACCATTAACATTGAGAGCGCGCGGAGGGGATTTAACAGAATGGTTCCAGGGATGAGTGGTTTTAGCGACAAGGTTAGGTTGGAGATTGCTTTCCTTCAAACAAAGGAGATTGGGGGGAGACCTCTTAGAGCTGACAGATTGGACAAGGTAAAGAAAAACTGATCCTATCAACATTGACAGCTGGATTTCGGTCAAAGAGTTAGCATTTTGGGGGCAGGATCCTCAGGGAAATTCGAGGAAGAATTTATTTGTACAAAAGTTGGAGGGATAATCATCAGAGGGAAATAACTTGCAGGGCTACAAGAATGGAGCAGGGAAATAGAGTGGAGGACGAAACAGTCTCCTTCTGACATATTGTCTCCATGGATCTATTAACTAAATGGCCAAAAAAAAAGCTAGTGATCCAGCATCTTGCTGTTACCCACTTATACCATGCTAGCTGACAAACTTAATAAAGACGAAAATGCCATTTCTATGACGAGGCTGGGAGGAAAGTCTGCTTCCAACTCCATTTGCCCAAAAACCACTCTGTGCTGGCTCAAAACTAAAAGCCTTCGGAAGGTGTGAAATGAGATCTGTATTCACTTAATCGAGCTCAATAAACCCAAGAGATTTATTGGAGTCCAGTACATCTTTGAAAAGACACACCGTTTCTTTTTTTTTATATATATTGCATAGATCATCTTGTGCAGATGCGACTAAAAGAAGAACCATTCACTTAAAAATGTATCAAATTCAATTTTCTCATATTACTGATCGATTTCGGAATCAAATTTGAGGCAGAGTTAAAAAATTGAATTATTGAAATGTTCAGTAAACATTTGGTGCATCTTTAAGTCATGCTTTGAAAATGGATTTCCAAAACTTAGGGAACGATATTAAATAAATCGAATGGTTTGAGATTTGAATCCTTCATGTCATCATCTTATAACACTACAGGCAGCAGCAGGGAGGCCTAGCTGTGGAACTACATGACCTTAACTGGGCACTACAGCTGGACGTGGGAATATGACTTTGTCCAGGTGCAGCCCAACTGGTTTATGCACACGAGGTCTTCACAGTGCAGTTTCAAAAGGTAACGTCAAAGGTCTTCCTGTAGGAGGATCAAGGTCCTTTAGCTCATTTTGTCAGATTTACAGTTACACCTTCTGTTCTTCTGAAACCCTTCAAATGGATTTGAACGGCAGCAATATGCAGTCAATTAAAATAATCCAATTGTGGCGCACTAAGGTGACTAAAGAATCCAACAGGGGAGTCAGAGAGAAATGATTTCATCTGAGGGCAGAGTGGCGGGTGAGAAGAGTCTAAAATGTGAGGTGGCGGGGGGAGGAGAGTCTAAAAGGGGGTAGAACCTTAAACGAGAGCCAGGTCAGCTCAGTGGCAATGTCAAGAAGCACTTCTTCACACAAGGGATTGTGGAAATTGGAAACTCTCACCCCTAAAAAGCTGTTGAAGTTAGGCATCAATAGTAATGGTTAAAATTGAGATTGACAGAATTTTGTTTGGTAATGGCATTTAGGTTTATGAAACCAAAGTGGATCGATACAGATCAACCATGACGCACCTGAATGCTGGAGAGGTTCGAAGGTGTAAACAGCCTCCTCCTGTTGGGTTGTACCACTCTCTGTTACATCATCCCAACTGAGCAATGGTCAGGTAAAGTCTGAGAGTCTCAAACATGCTATTCAACACCATCCTGCATTTGTATAGCACATTCAAAAGCCAAAGATGCCTTTGTTTTATGCAGAGTATGCTGCAGTCAGCTGCATTCTCTGGGATTGAGAGTAAAGATCCTAGCTGTGGTAGTAATGAGAGACTCTCATTTTATCATGCACAGATCAGTAGTATATTACAGGGTATGGAAAGCAAAGAGTAGGTTTGGATTAGACTGGAGAGAAAAACAGGCCAGCTGACTAATCTGTTGAACAGTGCCATAAAATACTGATGTTTGATTATAATTGTACATACCATTGTTTCGTGATAAGCACTTGTCCAACATTTTGAAAACAGCACTATGACAGTACAAAATTAATTGGATAATGTCCTAAATTCAGCATTATAATGGTGCTCCGAATCCTCAGTGACAATTTATTATACTATAAAACAACTGCGGACATATTCTAGGATGAATCCCAATTAACCAGGTAGCATTCTTTTAGGGCATATTTGCAGTCATTATATCCAGTTAATTGCTCAAATAAACTTGTGTTGTTTGATGTTGCTCCTAATACAATGTTGATCAGTTCCATTATTAATAGGCAGCCAGTGCCAATAAACGACTGGGCCATGAAAGGCATCATAACAAGCCAAAGGCCAAACTACTGCATTCTCACATGATGTCTATGGTGCATTCTGCAACAGTGATCACTGGACAGGAAATAAGAGACTCAGACTAGAATACAAGCAATGTAGCCCTGCCAACACCTTGGCACATGTAGTAGATTGGGTTTGAAGTTCAGGACATCTCTGGTGTATAGTTCACATCAGGTGAAGAAGTGATACAGAGCCACTGAGTCACGTTCTACAAGCAGAAACCATAATCAGTAATGGTAAATTTTTTAAACCATGAGGGTATCATTCAATAAAGGAGAGTACATTGCTTATAAGTCATAACTTTGAAACCAAAGAGCAGCATAACAGGATCTCACACACACACATACAAATGACATTGGCTGCAACTTAGATACACCTATCTTGATTATACCTTGTGAATGTTATAAAAACTTGGAATCTTGCAGCTCTCCCTGGCATAATTGAGTCCCAATTGATAAAAAGATCTCGTCAGACTGAAACATGAATTGTGCTTGACAAAAATCCATGCGATCACGTAAACCACATTTACTTAAAAATGCTAATGTTTAATTCGAATTTGGAGACATTTTAGAAAAATATAAAATGGGTTGTTATCTTTGTATTTCTACAATCAAACAATGTGCTTGGGAAAGCTCCATTCCACCAACTAGATTAGTGGTCAATTTAAGTAAATGTTTGTGGTATGAAAGGAAATCAGATGCTTAAAAACTGACATCAACATTTGGACAAAACACTTAGCAACGGAGAAAGATAGGTTGATACTGGCATGCATTTCTAAAGGGCTGGTTTGTGATGCAGAGACACCAACACCCAGGTACTAGCGAAGGTCACCATGAGGACAAGAAGGCTCTCCACCTGAAGAGTGGTGGCCTTCACGTTAAACTCACCACCAGTTGCCTCTCTCCAGCGAGAGAGCAACCCTATGTTTCCCTGGGTCAGCCCACTTTCACTTTCCTTAATCAACCTTTATCTTCAATCTTCTTCTGTGAATATTCACCACTCAGCATTTATAAGAGTATGCCTCACTGTGTTTGTGCTATTACAGCGTTGAATAACTAATGGCTGGGAATGTTGAAGTACCATCTCAAGTGGAATACTGCACTCAGTTCTGGTCTCCCTGCTATAGCAAAGACGTTGTGAAACTTGAAAGGGTTCAGAAAAGATTTAAAAGGATGTTGCTGGGGTTGGAAGCTTTGAGCTATAGGGAGAGACTGAGGGATGACTTCTATAGAGGTTTATAAAATCACGAGGGGCATGGATAGGGTGAATAAGCAAGGTCTTGCTTTCTCCCCAGGGTAGGGGAGCCCAAAACTAGAGGGCTTAGGTTTAAGGTGAGAGGGGAAAGATTTAAAAAGGACCTAAGGGGTAACCTTTTTTCACACAGAGGGTGGTGCATGCATGGAACCAGCTGCCAGAGGAGGTGGTGAAGGCGGGTACAATTACAACATTTAAAAGGCATGTGGATGGGTACAGGAATAGGAAGCATTTAGAGGGATATGGGCCAAATGGCACTAGATCAGATTGGGATGTCTGGTCGGCATGGATGAGTTGGACCGAAGAGTCTGTTAACATGCTGTACAATTCTATGACTCTATAACTACAAAATGGGTTACTATTGACAACTAATGGTCAATACTGAGGGCTCACAGCAGTGTAGCCAGCAATGCTACTTTATAAAGCGTGACACCATTAGCAAGAGTGATGATGTGGGCATCTTTCAAGATGCAAATAATACTCAGCACTCAAAAGGTTAATGTGAAGATGATGCCAGTCCTCTGATGCTGGGAAATAAAATACCAGCTGTAACACATTTGGTAGCACTCCCACCTTTATGTTGGATGCTGGTGGCTTCCAGACTCACTCTAGACATGAGCACGAACTCTAGACTGACTGTGCCGAGGGAGTGCCGCACTGTCAGAACTGTCATTCAGGTGAGACATTAAAAAGTCCCCTCTACTCTTGCACACACGGCTCAATGTAAAAGTTTGCATGGTGCTATCTTGAAGAGGAGAAAGGGAGGTATCCTAGTCAATATTCATTCCACATCTAACATTGTTGCTGAGGGATGATCTGGTCACTATTTCATTGTTACTTGCTGTGCACTAATTGTTGCCATGTTCCTTACATTGTAACAGTAACTACACTTAAAAGTACTTCATTGGCTGCAAAACTTTGGGAGATCCTGAGACAGCTAAAGGTGCTACATAAATGCAGGTTCCATCTTTCGAAACGCTGGATACTTGGAGTGGGGGGGTGGATTTGTTCACCTTCACTGGACACCTTTACTGATGACTGTCAAAAGCTGGAGAACCAAAATTAAGTCAGTGTTAATAAGTCACTTCTGGGAGTGGCCATTTTTATGCAACGCTGTTACAAAGACCACTACAGACACACCAAGAAACCAATGAGAGGAGAGACTGAAGGAGACACTTCTTGCTCAGTTGGCTTCTCTCTCCTTCAGAAATTCCTTACTTTATTCCATTCCATGGCCTAGATTTGTCAGTCTTTTCTGTTGAGCAAAGCCAGGTTTTGTTTAGTTGATCAAAGAGGTCAAGGATGGAAAGTTGATGCTGACACTCTGAAATACAGCTGTTTTACCGATAATTGCGAAGCCAGTAATCTGAGGACTCCTTTGTTTCTGTATTAAATATAAAGCTGAAAGTTTTCCAGAGTGAAGATAATTTCTGCGTGAAGAAATTCTAGAAAAATAGTTTTTTAAAAAATAAACAAAAAACATTGTTCATCCTGGTGACAGATTTAACCTATAATCCTGAAGTTAAAGGGCAAGCTGCCACAACAATCCACAGCGTAAGAACTTTGATTTCTTGTCTGGGTGATAAAAGTCTGGTTGTACAAGTCTATTTTTTGGGGGGTGGTTGAGAGTTTGACAGTATGAATCTCTGTGTATGTGAGAGTGAGTCTATGGAATGTGTGTGTTTGTGTGTGGGAGAGAAATATGCATGCACGTGTGTGTGTGAGAGAGAAGAGTAAGTGTGTGCAAAGACTGCCTGCGTGTGAGACAGTCAGAGACGAACAGGGAAAGAGACAGAGAGACAATGTGTATGAAGGAGGGTGTGTGTGTGTGCACGCGTGTGTGTGTGCGCGTGCGTGTGTGCGAGAGAGAGAGAGAGAGAGAGGAGATAGACAGACAGAATGTGTTTGACAAAGAGAATGTACGTATGTGGTCTGCAAATAGCTTTTCCTCAGAGTTTTGAGCGCTTACGAAGGTGAGCTCAGCACATCATCCTGGTGGTGGGAACTCTTGGTTTCTCAGAAGTTCTGCTGCCGTCGTTTCTTGGCATCGATGGCATCCAGGATCGGTTGTCTTTTGGCCTGGTAGCGCTGGCGAATCTCTTCAATCTCCTGCTCCATCGTGGGATCCAGTGAGCTGAGTCTTCTCTGTAGCTCTTCGACACTCCAGCTCTTCAACTGCAAATTCAATTTTAAAAAAAAGACACATTTAGTTTTATTTTATCCCCAGTGCCACTAAATAGAAACACAAATTAATATAAATAAGAGGGATCTAATTGATGTGTAGGATGATTGAACTATTCGGATCTTGCTGAAAAGGGATGACAGGTTGCCAAAGTTCTTACACTTATCAGGATCAGTGCAAGAATGTCAAATATCAAAACAATTACAACAATTTATACTACAGGTGAAAAAGGTGCCGATCGGTTGGTAAATCGATGCTGATTGGTTGAAGTTTTCCCATGGAGAAAATGAGGAACTATAGGCTCCCCGTGCAAATGGGTATTTCACTGAAATTTGGCATTTTTGCATGCATTCTCGAGTGCAAGACAAAAGGTTTTAAGGCTCTTTCTTTGCTGCAAGTTTGAGCTATTTCCCCTGTTGTGAGATCCAGAACAAGGGCGCATAATCTGTTAATGGGTACTGTCATGGAACATGTCTTTACACAAAGAGCAGAAACCTGGAACTTCCTTCCACACAGCTAAGGCTGGCAGTCAAATGAAAATCTCAAAGCTGAGACTGATCCAAGAAACATAAACTGCCAGAGAAACTCAGCAGATCCAGCAGCATCTATGGAGGGAGAAACAGAGTTAACGTTCTGGGTCTAGTGATCCTTCATCTGAACTGAAAGCAACTGGGATATTGTGGAATTTATGCTGACAACTGCGTCTGTGCATATGAGTGTTTGTGCCTGCACGCGCGTACCTGTGCCAATGTGTTTCTGTGTGTTGGGGGTGGTAGTGCAGAGAATGAGATACACTGATGGAGATGATGCCCAAAGCGAGAGAACAAAGGGGAACAAAACGAAAGGACTGCTGTAACTTGACATCAGGTAAAGGTCAACCATGACCTAACTGAACAATAGAACATGCTTTATTGGCTGAATGGCCTCCTATTGTTCCTATGTTCCTCTCTACAGTCTAGTCACTAGTAAATCCAATAAAGGAATTCAAGAGAAATGCCTTTACTCAGGACAGTGAGAGTGAAGAATGGACAGACATGAAGATGAAGAAGGATGGGCAGAGCTTAGCTTAAGTATAAACACCAGCAATGGCTAGCAGAGCTGAATGGCCTGTTGTTCTGCTGTAAATTCTACACAATACTTAAAAAAAATTCATCTGTTGGCAGTAATTTAGAAAGGTCCTTTAAATTTACTGTATCCCTGTGTTCACTGACCCTCACTGGTTCAAATTTAAATATCTGATCTCAAAGGTGGGGAGTGGGCAGCAGGGAGACAGAGTCGACAAGAGTATGAACAAGGGCAAGGCAACTCGCAAGGGAGAGCTTGACTGATTGAGAGCGAAGGCATACTCAAAGACATACCATTTATATGGTTGGCACTCATTTCCCATTGCATTGAGGAAGAGAGGGTTTATCAGGTTTACTTTTGAGTGGAACTTGCTGTGATTCAGTGTGTGAAATGGAGAAGATCTGCTCATACTGTCTTTCACTGAGATCACGAAGGACAAGAGCATGTGAAGCATTGTGCAGCAATATGAATGAATTATGAATGAACTTGTTTTTTCCAATGTGGTTAAACATTCCTCGGAGGTTCAATGGTGTCAACAGGCACCAGAGATGAGTGGGCTACTCAGTCAGTTTAATGTCCTTTTAGAGAATTGTGGAGCCAATTATATGGGGTTTGGGTTCCTAGGCAAATGATGGCTTTTGCAACTTATCAACTGAATTGAAGGATACAGTGGGGATTCTCAAAGGGTAGCTGTTCCTAATTTTCCCTAGAACTACCTGCAAGACCAAAGTGATACAAGGGAAACATCGAAAATAAACACTACCACTTGATCCCAGAATAAATACTGATAGTACTTTAAAGTCACAATGAGAGAAGGAATTATAATCAAGGTTTTTCTCCCCTTTTAAAAGTATGCAAAGCCTTTTATGAACATTTGATGATTAAAATAAACCACTTTCATTCACAAAATAATAAAAACTAATAAGGATATTGCCTTTTTTCCTCTTAATGCCGTGCTTTGGGTGAAATCTCAGACAGAAGATGACAAATGCAAACCAGACCCAGGTGATAAGTTTCATTCTCAGCAAGTAAACAAAGGTCATTTCTCTCCCATAAAAAGAAACTCTACGTACAAATTTTCCTTAAGTACAGAGGCTCTATGTTCAAACTCTAAAATCATTCAGATAGTCAAGGGGTAAATTTTGCACCGTTCAGCAATTCAACCCCAGGACTGTTTTTGGCAGTTCCTGAATTGGCAGAAGTTCAACACACACACACATACCAGACAGGAACTAACACTGACAATTACAGCTAGGAAACCATTTTAATAATTCAATTGGACCTCAAACATCTTGTACTTACAAAACATTATCCTGGAGTTATTAGTATCAGAACAGTTAAAAATATAAGCCTGCCCTTTAAAGTGTTGACCCTGCTGTAATTTACAGGGTCAGCGGACTGGTACCTCATTACCAATTTGACAGATTGTGTTTGGCGGAGACATCTCCGGCACCCACTTCAGCCCTTGGGCTGGAATATTCATATAGCAAAGCAGTCTTGTATCCATATACAGCAAGACCTGCACAACATCCATGTTGGGCTGATAACTGGCATATAACATTTGCAACACACAAGGCAAAGACAATCTCCAACACAAGACAATCTAATCACCTCTCCCTTGACATTTAATGACAATATCATTGAATCCCCCACTTTCAACATCCTGAGGGGGTTGAAATTGATCAGAAATTGAACTGGAGAAGCCATATAAACACTTGGTTACAAGACCTTCTAAGAGGCTGGTAATTCTGCAACAAGTAACTCATATTCTAACTCCTCAATGACTGCTCACCATCTACAATTCACGAGTATGATAGAATACCCTGCAGTTGCTCTGATAAATGGCAACATGAAGGGGAAATCATACCTGACAAATTTAATAGAATTCTTTAAGGAGGTAACAAACAGGATAGATAACAGACAACCAGTAGATGTAATGTATTTAGATTTCCAAAAGGCATTCAGTATGGTACCACGCATGAAGCTACTTAGTAAGGTAACAGCTCACGATTGGAGGTGGTATGCTAGCATGGAGAGAAGATTGGCTAGCTAACAGGAGAGAGAGTTGGATTAAAGAGGGCATTTTCAGGATGCCAATCCGTAACTAGTGGAGTGGTACAGGGATTAGTGATGGGACCATAAATATTTATAACACATATTAATGACTTGGGTGATGAATTGAATGTATTATTGCCAAGTTTGCAGATGACAAAAATGGATGGGACAGTACATGGTGAGGATAATGCAAAGAGTCTACACAGGGATATAGACAAGTTAAGTCAGTCGATAAAAACTTGGCTGATGGAATACAATGTGGGAAATGAGAGGTTGCGTACTTTGGCAGGAAAAATAGAAGAGGTGAATATAATTTAAATGAAGAAAGATAGATAAAGCTGTAGCACAGAGGGATTTCAGGGTATTGAGGCATGAATCACAAATGGCTAGCATTCAGGTACAGCAGGTAGTAAGGAAAGCAAATAGAAGTTAGCTTTTATTTCAGAGGGAATGGCGTACAAAAATTGGGAAGTCTTGCGAGAACTAAATAGACCACACTTGTGAAAAGCCTAGTCGCCTTATCTAAGGAAAGATTACTAACATTGGAGGTGGTCCAGAGAAAGATTATTAGGTTGATTCTGAGGATTTTCTGAGGAGAGGCTGAATTGGCTGGGCTTATACTCATTGGGGTTGAAAAGAATGAAAGGCAACTTTATTGAAACATGTAAGATTCTAGGACTAGAAGATATAAACTCAGAGTAAGGGGGTCACTCATTTAACAGAGATGAGGAGAAATTTCTTCTCTCAGAGGGTAATGAATTCATGGATTACTTTACCACAGAGAGCTCTCGAGGCTGGGTCATTAAGAATATTTAAAGCAAAGCAAAGACAAACAGATTTATAGCCAGGGAATTCATGGGTGTGGAAAGACAACAAAGTAGAGTTGAGAATTATCAGGTTAGCCACAATCATTGAATGGAGGAGAAGATGCTTGATAAGCAGAATAGCCTACTTTAACTCCTACACCTTGTGGTCTCATTAAGTGCAGCCCCAACAAGTTAAGCTTGACACCATCCAGAACACTTGAACGCTTGATTGGCACTAAATCCACCACCTTAAACATTTATCCCTCCACCACAAATGCTCAGCAGCAGCAGTGTGTACCATCTGTTAGATGCATCAGAGCGAACACAAACACTCCTTTAACAGCTCCTACCACTAGCTGCAAGTTCCCCTCCAAGTCACACACACTTCCTGACTTGGAACTAGATTGCTATTCCTCCACTGTCACTTAGTCAAATCCTGTAACTCCTTCTCCAGCAGCATAGTGGGTGTCCATACACCACGTGGACAGCAGTGGTTCAAGGGGGAGGAGTTCTGAAGGCAAATTAGGGATGGGGAATGGGCAATAGATGCCAGTCTTGTCCTCAATGCGTAAATCCCATGAATAAAAAAAAATACAAACCCTGATTACAACAGCCTCATCCCTCTTGTACTTTTTAAAGTTTTCTTGGAATTCTTTCTGGATCAGAATTTCACGTGTGAGGCATCACATCCACACATTTCAAAGTGAGCCTAATTCATCCAGTCCTTCGCTCAACTACCAACAGCTTTGCCTACAGCTGTCCACAGGCCTTAAGCTCTGGAATCCTCTCCCTAAACCTCACCTCCTCCTTCTCCTCATTAAAACGTACTTCCTTGACCAAGCTATTGGTCATCTGTCCTAATGTTACTTTAAATGGCACGGTATCTAAGTTATTGTTGATAAATGCCACTGTATTTAGGAATTTTTACTACATTAAAAAGGTATATAAATACAAAATGTAGTTCAGCAAAAAAAGAGAAGGGTGTTTCTGTTCTCCTTAACTGTCCCTGTCTCTTGTGCTGTGGATTCCACTTCCCCTCTGCAACTTGTGGGGCATGGTGCCAGCCT